AACTCTAGTTGTTAACGACATTGCCATCTACCTTAATCATGGAATCCCTGGGACATCCTCAGAGTCCACACATACCTAGACTGGCCTGTCTGTGCTTTTGTAACTGCACTACACTCTGACCTAGCAATGTAGGACTTTATTTTACAGAAGAAGGGAGAACATGCGAAGGGTGAGTGCAGGAGAAAGAGGTGGCAGTAGCATTGCGTGTGAAGAGGGAGGTGCCCAGTTGCCTGCGCATTGGAGAGAATATGGCCCAAGTCACCTCACATCCACAGGAAAGAGCTCAGATAATCTGCATCTAAGAGGGGTGGGCACAAGGGTTATCGGGATCAGGTTGTAGATGTCTGTTGACCATGTGAACAGGTGAATGGATTTGGGGCTCAGATGTGAGTCACTAGGGGCATGGACGTCGAAGGAGTAGCAGGATTCTGCAGATGTGGACCATAATGGAAGGAGCAGCGCTGAAGAGGTCCTGGCAGGACGGCTTGGTGATCTCTGCTGTTTGAGCTACCTTTGCCCAGTTGCTGGGATTGTAGTTTCTTCATCCAACACAAGCCTTTGGTCAGAGGTGTAATCAAATCATGCCACCATGCACCGGGCACCTACGCACGCCCGGCACTGTGAGGCGTCCGGATCTGGTGCAGCAGCTGCTCTGCAGGTACTTAGTGGCTCCTTGGTGAGCTTTGTACATTGCACTGCACCACGTGCTTCCTTGCTCAACAGGCCTAGGTGGCGCTTCTGCCTTATCACAGCACAGCAAGGGACTCCTGTTCTCAGAACCTGTTTTATGACATGGTATAAAGCACCTACCTGTTGAGAATGTCTGACATCATGTGCTCGGGACAGTGCTGAGTAGCTTTTCTTCTCTCCTCAACAGATTTATCACCGGATCCCCAACTCAGACCCGTCATCCAGTGAAACCAAGCAGATCATCTCCACCATTAGGACACAGAACCTTCCCAACTGCCAGCTCATCTCCCGAAGCCACTACTCTCCCATTTACCTGTCGTTTGTCATGCTTTTGGCTGCCCTGAGCTGGCAGTACCTGAGCACCCTGTCCCAGGTCACAGAAGACTATGTCCAGACAGGAGAACACTGATTTTGTTTGGCCGGAAGCTGAAGTTCAAGTGAAATGGGTTTTCCTCTTCCTCCAACTGGATTTTGACTTCCCTTCCATTTTCCCTCCTTTAACCTCTCGGAGAACTGTGTGTGGGACCTTTAGGAACTGTCCAGAGGAAAGGACACCTTGCCCTCAGCAGCCTGGTGCTTGCTGAGGAGTGTGGGCCCCTCTGCCTTTTGTAGCCATTGGCAGCATGCTCACTGCTGCACTTTAGAAGGGGGAGCCACATGTGATGGTCACAGATCCGAGTGAACCTGGCCAGAGCGCTGATTGGATTGATTTCATTTGAAACAGCCTTTGAATAGCCATCATAATAGAAAATGAAGTGACTTTTTCTTCTGTCTGGTTCCTATTTCTCAGTGGACGGTGTTAATGTCATCATTCTAGATGCTGCCGCGAAGCTTCCCGAGAGTGCGGGCCTGTGTTTCTCACTCAAAGGGAGCTAAAGTGTTCACCAGTGCCTTTGGCCACCTGTCAGAAGCGTGGGCTGTAGGAAAAGTTACTGATTTTGAGGTTTTTAGAATAGCATGTAAGGGCTGGGACATAACTCCTGTGGCAGAACACTTGCCTAATAGGCACAAGGCCCTCGGTTAGGTCCCCAGCCCCAGGAGGGAACAAACTAAAAGCCCTTGTAATGACCAAGTTTGTCAAGTGTGGTTCACCTGCAAGCCCAGGCAGATGGTGTAGTGATCTGAGGACAGGTTCCTCTGTCACCACAACAAAGCCGGTTGGCAAGGGCTGGGAAGGGCTGGCGGTCCTGTGTTGCTCATGGAGGGTAGCAGCAAAGATAGCATCATCTGCTGCCTAGCCTGCCAGTGCCATTTGCCCCACCGGCCACCCCTAGTCATTTGTTTTGGTTTTTTCTTTTCACATTTCTATATTCAAGTCTCAAGACAAATGATAAAAGATCAGTTTTATGTCGGTGGTTTTATTTTTATTTATAACATGGCTGATCGGCTACCCTGTCAGGACGGCCCCTGGCTACCTGTGTATCTGAAAGCCATTGTTTCGGGAGGACTGTGAAGAGGCTCTAGGCAGACATGCTGACCTGTTTTCCCACTGTAACAAGACATCTGAGACCAATTACTTTATCAAGAAAAGAGGTTTATTTTACAGGTTAGGAGGATGAAAACCCATGAAGCCTCCAGCCTTAGCCTCTGGAGGGCCTCATGGGAAATGACACTACAGTGGGGGGGAGGACATGCAGCAGAGAGATGTGTAACAGGAAGCAAGAGGGAGTGGGAGCCCAGGCTTACCAAGGCCTACCCTGTAGCTCGGGTTGGCCTGGAAGTCTGTGTAGCCTTGATCCCCCTGCCTCAGCCTTCTGATGCAAGAGTTGCAGGCATGAGCCACTCCACTACTGTCCTCAGGGCTTGGTCTCGGGAGAACTCGGAAAGACCAGTACTGGCTCCCCACTCGGAGGACAGTGCCTCCAACACCTGATCACCTTGCACTGGGCCTTAGCCGCCACACTGCCATCCTGTGGAGCAAGAGCCCAGCATAGGATCCTCTGGGGGACACTCACGCCAGAGACATGTACAGCATACAGTGTGCCCCCTATTCAGCCTGCTGGGTATGCTGGCTTCATCACTGAGGTACAGCATTGCATGGAAGCACACATTTTGTAATGTGACTGCTGGGGACCACTGGGGCATGGAGACTTACTTAACTGGTCATTTGAGGCTCAGCCTTGAACAAATACCACCCTGTTGAAACCAGCCAAAGTAATGTTACATGGTTCTTAAACTTCTGCTCTCAAGAAACCCAAAGGTCTTAATGTTCGTTCTTTCTGGAAGCCATGATTCTTACCATTAACCCCAGCATTTGGGAAGTAGAAGCAGAAGGATCAGGAGTCCAAGGTCATTCTCAGTTATGGAGGTCAGTTTGGTCTACATAAGATCCTGTCTCTAACACAAAAAAGACCCTGGGGGCTGGACGTATGGCTCAGCAGTTAAGAGCATGTGAGTGCTCTTCCAGAGGTCCTGAGTTCCAAGTCCTAGCAACCACATGGTGGCTCACAACATCTATAATGGAATCTGATTCCCCATTCTGATGTGCATGAAGATAGAGCGCTCATGTACATAAAATACGTGAATGAATAGATCTTTAAAAAGGGACCGACCCTAACCCTCTGAAACAGTGATTTTTTTTTTCCCCTTGGCAGATAAAACAAGGTGCCAAGCTCCCCTTAAATTTCAGATCACCAATTTTGTTCATATCCAAATATTTAGCATGGAACATTTCTGTAACGTCATTTACCTGAAATTCATTTAGTTGGGCATTCTATGTATCTGACGCAACTACCATTTTTTTTCTCCCCACATTATTTTGTTGCTGGGAACTGAACTATATGCTGGACAAGCCCTTAGGCTACCACCGAGAGACGGCTCCGGCCTGCTTTTATGGCATCTCTTCTGGTGTATCTGCTTGGTTCCTTCCACCCCGTGTGTGCTGCCTTTTTCAGATGCCCATCTGGAGCCAGCTCTACTACAGCTAGAGGAGCCTGCTCTCCCATCTTTCAGGAGCCTCTGGTTATCTACTCCTCAGATTCCCTGCTGAGTCATTTTCCAGGCTCTGCGGTTAGAGGGAAGTGAGCTCTGAGGCTGTGTGGTTCAGTGTATTATCTGGAACCAAGACTTCTGACCAAATAGGTGTGGCATGGTGCCTAATGAGTTCCTGGGTGGCATGGATGCTGTTGGTCAGAGGATCAGTTTGAAGACCATTGCCCAAGCTGTAATTAGTATATCTACAAATGATCTAGTGACACTGGCTCATTTGAGGACCACATGCAGAACAGGATTCTTACAACCCTGTGTTTCACTTTAGTGTATAGAGAGGGAGGATGTGTACACACTGACTCATCAAGGGCCCGTGGGCAGGCTCAAAATGAAACGCTGCTCTAACTACTTTTAAAATGGGTTTTCTAGATAGGGTCCCACTGTAGAACAGGCTGGCTTCAGACTCCCAGAGATCCATTTGCCTCTGCTTCCTGGGTGCTCATTTGTCTTCCAGTACCCAAGGAATTCCGCTACGGACTTGGGCACAGGAAATGACCCACAGGATAACCTGGTTATGGAAGCCATCCAGAGCCATCCCTAGGCATATGATAACAAGGTAGGTTTCTCCCAGAGGCTCCTTCAGTGAGTGTGAGGATACCCCAGGCCCTTTGCTCTTAATCTTGACCCCCCAACTGGCTCTGGGGGGTAAGAGTGGTCATGTGGGAAGGCATAAAGGCAGGGGAACTATTGATGTTGTTGAGGAGCCAGAGGACCTGTCTTGCAGTACTGAAGCCCCAGTACCCAAACCAGGTTGCCCAACCTCAGTTACATGTCCAGCACTCAGCAGGCTTTCAGAGCTTCTTTGACATCATTCTGAGTTATTCCCATCATACAGGAGGGCAAGCTTCCTCAATTTCCAGAGAGAACCAGCCCCTCTCATTTAGCAGGAAAAGTAACGGCTCCACAGGACAAGGAAGCAAATGCTGGTTAGTGAGGCCCTGCTCCCTACTAACTGCGCTTTCATTAGCCATTTATGGTTTTATAAGGGAATCTCTTGAGCCGTGGAATCCACCGACCCAGAAAACTTAAAACATGGTGCACAAGCTTTGGCTCTGCCCCGGAGAGATAAATGTAGACCTCTAGGAAGATGACAGCCCTGGCCTCAAGTGGAATACACACGTCTGGCTTGGTTAATAAAACATGAAATGCAGCTCCCTTATCGCTAAGCAGGAAGAAGTGTTCCAATGCTTGAGCAGAGTTCTGGGTATGGCTTAGAGAAGGGTTTGAGGGTGACAGGATACAGGAAGAGGGCCACCACAAATGGCTTGAAAATGCAGCATAGTGCTGTTCACCCTGCCTCCAGAAGGCCGTGAGAGCACATGTCAAGCAGACGGAGAATTGGTTTATTGGCACAGTCATTCCTTGTTAAACTGACAGGGTTGAGTGGCAACTCTACAACAAAAAAAGCAAGTTTTTCCCAGACTCATTTCACTGCAGTATGAGGTCGGTCAGTCAGCCAGCAGACCAGGACCACTTAAGCTTGTTTTAAGCCATACAAATTAGGGGACTACCTGTAAAACCAGTACAGCTCTTCATACTCAGTTGAGGTACACAAAAAATAAAACTACTATTGAAAAAAGCATCAGCTGAGGACAAGACCGGGAAGGGCTTGCCACATTACCAAGGGAGATGGAGGCAGATGCCCTGGAAAAAGGTAGCTTTTCTCCAGAGACCTGCACTGGGCCATCAACCCCTGCCAAAGACCCAGGAAGTGGCTAGCTTTAAGGTGCAGCTGACGGGTGGCGTTTGTCCTCATCATGAAGTTGGCGTTCCATTCTTTTGGAAAACCTGCAGGAAAACCTGCGTTCCATTCTTTTGGAAAACCTCCATTCTTTTGGAAAACCCTTGGGTCTCTCCTGCCCTGTAGAGGCTAGGATGGGGGTAAGGGGAGTGGCAGGCAGAGCCACAGCAGCAGGCACTAAACAGCACTAGTCTAGGGGGAGGCTAGGATGCAGGCTGTGATCACTGCCATGGGAAGGGCTGGGAGGGCAGCTCTGATGGCAGGCGGCTCTGGTCCAGTTGCTCAAGCCTTGCCAAAAGCTTCGTGCATGTTACGTGAGCTCAAAGAATCAAATACTCTCCTGTCTGCCTCACTCCCAGCCTCGGTAGCTAAATTTAGGGAAAATGTACCTAAGGACCCGCCAACTAGATCACAGCATATTAGAACCTTCCCCAATACATGTCAGTGCGTGGGATTCCAGCCACAATTTCTGACTCGATTCCACAGTGGTCCTCTCCTCTGAGGATTTTAAAGAGGCCTGAGGGAGACAAAAAAGTAAGGCACTTTCAAAGCATGCTCTGGATTTGGTCTAACCCTTGTTTTCAGATGATGCACCACTCTGGTACCCCAGGCTGGCCACGAGCTCCATCCTTAGCCTCCTCATCCTGGGTGCCAGGGCTGCAGCAGTGCAGGGATTACAGCCACTATACCCACCCGCCTTGGTATACCCAGATCCATCCAGGCCAAGGGGTGAGCTGCCTGGCCTCCAGCAGCAGCCGAGACACATCCCTCAAATGCCTTCACATGCTGCTCCTGCCAACAGGAACTTACAACCATGTGGAGCTCCTGGGCCGAGACGGTTCTAGACCAAAGTATCTATACACTTAGCCAGGCAGGGCCACACCTCAGACCACAGTGGAGTCAAGGGGGCTATGATGTTCTGCCCCGTAGCTTCTTCCCGAGCCCAAGGAAGGGGACTGCCACTCACCATTATCACCCCAGTCAACATTCCAAGAGTTGGCTGCCAGCCAGTAGGGAACTCCATTTTCTACTCCCCAGCCCAAGATTCGGATGGCGTGGCCACCCATCATGTCACCGGCCTCGTGCTGGTATACTCCTGAGGAAGAAAAGGGCGGTTCTCACTGAACACAGGTCACTGCCTGTCCACAGATTGCCCCAAGATAGCTAACCACCCAATCAGAAGTAATGGGCTGACAGGAACAAACTAGCCTTCTACACAAAAATCTCTAGAAGGCTGGAGGAAGGGCTCAGAACAGTCAGTTGCTAGTATGGCAAGGCCCTGAATCTCCAGGGATGGATCTCCAGCACCAACAAAACCACAGTCCTCATCAGAGGCCTTTATTGTGTGGCTTGAATTAGCCCATGTAGGCTCAAAAGTTTGAATGATTAGTTACTAGGGAATGGCACTATATGAAAGAATTAGAAGGATTAGGGCATGTTGCCTTATGTGTCACTGGGGGTGGGCATAGACGTTTCAAAAGCCTGGCCTACTGTCTGTCATACCTCCGACACCCACTGCCTGCAGACCAAGATGCAGTTATCTGCTACTGCTCCACCGTATCTGGGCTGCCATGATAACAATGGACTAATCCTCTGAAGCTGTAAGCAAGTGCCTATTAAATGCTTTCTTTCATTAGAGTTGCCTTGGTTCTGATTGTCCCTTTAGAGCAATAAGACAGTGACTAAGAAAAGGAGTGTCTCTTCATAGCAGTAGAACAGTGTCTGTGACAAGGGGAATCCATGGTATTAGGAGATTATGTAGCTATCACATATATTATGTGACCGTATGTATGGAGGTGTTTGTGTGTGTTTGAGAAAGGGTCTAAAAAGCCCAAGTTGATCTGAAACTCACAATCCTGCCTCTGCTTCCTACATGTTGGGATTATACATGGGTGCCTCTATACCTGACTAAAAGTGTACGTATATACTTTTTTATTTTTTAGACAGGGTCTTATGCCTAGGTGGCCTGGAACTTGCTGTGTATACCAGACTAATCTCAAACTCAGAGATGTGTCTGCCTCTTCCTTGCGTGCTGGAATTAATGGTGTACACCACCATGCCTGGCACTGTAAAAATATTTTTGGGGAGCCCAACACGCTTAAGTATGTGATTTTAAAAAGTGGGATCCTACAAAAAATGTTGTTTGGTTGGCTTTGAAATAAAGGTTTTGATAAACTCTAAGTTGTAAAGAAAACTTAGAAGTCCAGGGGCCAATTATCCATGGCTTGCCGAGTTTTCAAGCTGTTGCTCTGGGGTCCACTGGAGAGGTTAGGGAGGGATCACGGCTGCCACTGTTGGCTAGTAACAGAGACACTGCTCAGGTATCCAGAGAGCTGGTCAACAAGGCCTTCCACCCGAGGGTGAGTCACACATCACCTTAAGTGATATAACGGGTACAGGGGCTGTGATGGCTGTTCCTGGTTGTTCACTCGACTACATCTGGAATTAACCAAAACCCAAATGACTAGGCACACCTGTGAGGGATACTGCCTTAATTAAATCATTTAAAGTGGGAAAGACCCACTTCTAACCTCGATCTTTGAGGTAGGAAGATCCACCTTTAATTCAGACCTTTGCAGGTGAGAGGATCCAGCTTTCATCTGGGGCACAATGTAAGGACATAGAAGAAAGAAGCTCCTTCTTTGCCAGCTTTTTCTTTCTGGTAAGTCCATTCCTTACTGCTTGAGATTCCAGCATATACTGAAGACCAGGTGCAACCTTTAGCCTCATGGACTGAACTACTAGATTCTTAGACCTTCTGTTGGTTGAGTGCCATTGTTAGACTATTTGGACCACAGCCTGTAAGCCACTTGAATAAATCCCCAAAAGAAAGATAGATAGATAGATAGATAGATAGATAGATAGATAGATAGATAGATAGATAGATAGATAGAT